TTTTCGCAGGATTGAAGGCTGAACCCAGGGCCTCATGCCCTCGACTGTTGAGCCACATCCTCAACTTTCAGATTGTTCTGTTTTGTTTTTTGTTTTTTGGTTTTTTTTTGTTTGTTTGTTTTTGAGACAGGGTTTCTCTGTGTAGCTTTTGGAGCCTGTCCTGGAACTCTCTGTAGATCAGGCTGGCCTCGAACTCACAGAGGTGCGCCTGCCTCTGCCTCCCGAGTGCTGGGATTAAAGGCATGCGCCACTGCCGCCCATGTTCTGATGTTTAAAGTCTAAATCTGTGACGGACAAATTCAGAGTCCAGTGGTGATGGAAGGATGCCTTTTAGCATTGGTTCTACAACTTAAGTTGATGTGTGTTTGCTCTTGACAAATAAAATATACCTCCAACTCTACGTAGTTATAAAAGCTAGTTTGCAGTCAGTGTAAAAATGTTTTGGGGGCCATCGACATGTCTCAGCTGGTAAAACACTTACTGCTTTAGCCTGGCGACCTGAGTTTAATCCCCAGGATCCAGGTAAGAGGTGGAAGGAGAGAACTGATTCCACAGCTCTTTCCTCTGCCCTTGCACACATGATAATAATAAATAAGTACAGTTGTAATGTTTTCGTCCAAACGCTCATAAAAATGCCATTTCGAGACTAAATATCAACCATTTCTTAAGTTATAAAGCCAGTGGGTGAGAAATATTTACATATTGAGCAACAGAAAATACAGAGTACTTACAGGAAACGATGAAGTTGGAAATTGCAGCAGTGAGAATCTGTTGCTATTTTGTTATTTTAAATGCTGTTTTAGTGAAGCTAGATGTCTGAGGTAGCAGGGATGTGAAAACGAAATAGAATAGAAATTGTTACTATCAAGGATCAGAATAACAAGTGATGATGAACAGAAATTCATTTTTAGGAAAGAAATACGAGATTACATTCAGTAATGGGGATAACCAGTGTTTTACTAGAAAGAATTATAAACATGTTGTTTTTGCTTAGTGTATCAGGCACCTGTGAAGTGATTAAAAATGAAGACCTTGTATCAAATAAAAGAAAACTTCGGGGCTGGTGAAGTGGCTCAGAGGTTAAGAGCACTGACTGCTCTTCCAGAGGTCCTGAGTTCAATTCCCAGCAACCACATGGTGGCTCACAATCATCTGTAATGAGATCTGGCGCCCTCTTCTGGCCTGCAGGCACCATGCAGGAGGAATATTGTATACATAATAAATAAATAAACAAATCTTTAAAAAAAAAAAAAGAAAACTTCATAAAATGTTGAGTGAAAAATATTATTTGTGGGGCCTGGAGAGATGGCTCAACAGTTAAGAGCACTGGCTGCTCTTCCAGAGGACCCGGGTTCAATTCCCAGCACCCACATGGCCGCTCACAAGTGTCTGTAACTCCAGTTCCAGGTGATCTGACACCCTCACACAGACATATGTGCAGGAAAAACACCAGTGCACATAAATATAAACATAAAACAATGCACATAAAATTAAAAATAAAGTGTTATTTGTGTTTGCCTCCTACTGCCGCATGACTTGAAAGGCGAGGACTCTCTTAGTACCCCCTCAGGTGATTGTGTCTGTGTCTGCTGCGTCTGGACAGCCCCACTGTCCTCTCACGAGAGAACAAGGCTGAAAGACAACGGTATTCTAAGTAGGAGGAAGATAATTTCGCCCCGTGGACTCCCTGAAAATAAATGCTTAAGCACCTCTCAGGGGTGTCCTGGCCACGCTTTGAGAACCACTCTCTGGCCCTTGAGAGGCAAAACAAACGCAAAACTATTAAGTCTGCTCCTCGTCCGTCCGTCCCACAGGCTTGGTGTGAGGCAGGGCAGTGAGCTGTGACTCCGCCCTTGAGTGTTCATGCCTCTGGCTTCTCAGGAACTCTCAGGACCCGGGGAACCTTTGGAGATTGAACTGCGTGTGTTTAGGAGGGTCTGCTAGATATCAAAAATACACATTTGGTCTTGACAACTAAAATGTTGGGGGAAACCGCGTTACTATTATGAGCGGGTTCGTAAAAATGTGATAGTTAACATATATATAAAGATACAGAAATTGTAAGCATTAAATTTGCAGTAGAGGATAAGATATGTTTTAAATTTTGTTAGTCCTACCTGGGATTCAGGGATTGAACTAAAGCTGCCAAGCTTGCATGGTAAGTAGCTTTACCAGCTGAGCCCCTTTTGGTGACAGGGTCTTTCTTTCTTTCTTTCTTTCTTTCTTTCTTTCTTTCTTTCTTTCTTTCTTTCTTTCTTTCTTTCTTTCTTTCTTTCTTCCTTCCTTCCTTCCTTCCTTCCTTTCTTCCTTTCTTCCTTCCTCCCTCCCTCCCTCCCTCCCTCCCTTTCTTTCTTTCTTTCTTTCTTTTTCTCGAGACAGGGTTTCTCTGTAGTTTTGGTGCCTGTCCTGGGACTCACTTTGTAGACCAGGCTGTCCTTGAACTCACGCCTCCCAAATGTGGGATTAAAGGTGTGCGCCACCACTGCCCAGCTTGACAGGGTCTTTCTAGGTAGACCAGGCTGGCCATGAATTCCCTGAGACTGGGATTGCAGACATGCATCACAGTAACTGCTACAGTTATCTGAAACATGCTTTGGGCTTAATTGTAGTTGTTGTTGTTGTTGTTGTTTTCATCTGCATACCCACTGTAGAGGTACTTTCTATATCTGGCCCCCCAGCCACATTGAAGGGGGCGGGGCTTTCTGCCTTTCATTGTTGTCTGCTCATTCCTCCCAGATGCTACCTGGGTCTCAGAAACAGCAGGAAGTTGAGTGCCTTAAAGAGAGAGTGTGCATTGGATAACATTTTCATGGGGTTTCTGAGCAGACTTCTCTCTTTACTGGCCAGCAGTGTGCAGGGGTGTGGAGAGGCTGTAGGAATGATGCCCCGGCTCACCTCTGCTTTTTCCTCCCACCTTGATGCTTAGGCCTGTTTTCCCATCAATGCAAGCCATTTTTTCTAGGTTCTTACTACAACTTTTCTCTCCCCCTCAGCCTCTACTCTACTTTATCTTCCTTTTCTGTTTATGTTCTAGTTTCTTCTTCAGAGATATCCTCAGTCAGAGTGACTTCCAGTTAAATGTAGTATGGAGTCAAGATATTCACAGTTGCCAAAGACCCAGGAGTGAATGTGTGTTTTTGTATTTGTATTTGGTATGACAGGAATATTGTGGGCAGATACCATAGTGGACAGTCCTTGCCTCTTCTGCCCCAAGCTCCCTGGTGTCATCACTTTTTGCTTGGGAGAAAGTGGGATGAAATTCTGAGTGTCATTTTTTGCTTTGCCCTACCTACTCCTATACCCCATCTTCATGTGCAATATATATTTTCCCCCCGGGTACTGGAGATCAAACTCAGGACCTTACACACATACTAGGCAAGTGCTCTATCACCTAGCTATACCTCCAGTCTCTACCCCATCTTCACAAGGCTGGACCAAGGCACAGAAATGTCTCCTTCAGGGTCATATAGCTTCTGTGGGCTGCCCTTTGTCTCTGTTCTTTCTTTTTTTTTAAAAAAAAAAAAATCTGTGTGTGTATGTGTGTCTCTCTGTGTGTGTGTCTGTGTGTCTGTCTGTGTGTCTGTGTGTGTGTCTGTGTGTGTGTCTGTGTGTGTGTCTGTGTGTGTGTATGTGTCTGTGTATGTGTCTGTGTGTCTGTGTGTGTGTCTGTGTGTGTGCCTGTGTGTCTGTCTGTGTCTGTGTGTCTGTGTGTGTATGCATAGACCTGCATGCTTGCCCATGCCATGGCATTCATGTAGAGGTCAGAGGCCTGCTCTGTGGACTCGGTCCTCTCCTTTTACTTTACGCGAGTTCTGAGAGCAAGCTCAGGTCCCCAGGCTTGCCTGACAAGCACCTTTCCTTGAGGAGCCCTCTCCCTGGCCCTTGTTCTATTTGAGACAGGATCTCATCTTGTGGCTCAAGTTGACACACAACTTGTGATCCTCCTGCCTCAGACTTCCAGCTTCTGAAACTACAGGTGTTGTTGCCTCTCCTGGCTTTCTGCTCTCCTCTGAGTGCTGTCTATCTGCTGTGGGCCCTGCAAATGTGTGCTGTCACTGCGGGCTTCCGACTGAGTGGCACGACACTGCGTTCCCTTTCCTCTCCCTTTAGAGCTGGGAAGATATTTTGTGGCTTAGGAGAAATAAAAAGAAAGTGTATTAATTGGAAAAACTGCTTCAAATTTGTTCTGTCTGAATCACATAGCTGTACTCTTCTACCTTGTCTCTAGACTATCTTCTAACTGTCTCTGTGGATCATAATAGTATCAGTGTTCCACATAGTAGCAGCTGTCTGTTGAAAGAGACAAATACAGTCTATTGGGATCTAGTGGGAAGAGAGCAGATATATGTGTCTTACCTTGCTTGCTTGTTTATTTCAATAATTACTTGTTATTTATTTTAAATTTATTTTTATTAGTTTATGTGTATCAGTGTTTTGCCTGTATGTATGTGAAGCCATCTCTCCAGCTACTCAACAGTTATCTATTAAATGCCAACCGTGTGCCACTGTTGAGCATGCTGGAAATATGGCTCCTAACCAGGCATCCTCACTTCCTGTTGTCGTAGACGTTTTGTTAGCAGGAGTGTGATGTCTGTCTCCCTCACAGGACAGCAGAAATGGTGATTGGAAGAACACTGGGCTCCAGCTCTGTGTCTGGTTTGGATTGGACGTGACCAGCCACTTAAATGCTTTTCTCCTTTTCCTTACCCATCAAAGGAGGTGGTCAAGACACTTAACAGGGGCTAGAGAGATGGCTCAGAGGTTAAGAGCACCAACTGCTCTTCCAGAGGTCCCGAGTTCAATTCCCAGCACCCACATGGTGGCTCACAACCATCTGTAATGAGATCTGGCGCCCTCTTCTGTATACATAATAAATAAATAAATCTTAAAAAATTTTACATGCAGTTCATACCTGCGTGGTTGGGGCAATATTAAATGAATCTCGAAGTTTCAAGGCACTGGCAAGATATAAAGTGTATTTGTTTTTCCTCTCTTCACAGAAGAAGATAATGCTGAATATGTTTTTAGACACCATGATGGCCGATCCTCCCCCGCAGTGCCTTGTCTGGCTACCTCTCATGCACAGGCTTGCCCATGTGGAGAACGGTGAGCGTGGCTTGACCCTTCATCCCTTAGGGTGCAGGGAGGAGGAAACTGTGGGCAGTGTCCTGAGCTGCTATTGTGAGAAACTGGAACTTGCTGGCAGGCCACCATTTGAAGTTGTGCCTTTTGTTTTCAGAAGAAGAATATTTATTTCATCACAAGAGCAGGAGTCTTGTCACCTAAGATTCTGAGAAATAATAAAACCTGCTTGGTATGGACATGGTTTTTTTCACCCTGAGATTGCTTGCATTTACCCGATGTGGTCAGGAATTTCAACCCCCCCCCCCTTTTTAATTTATCAGAATTGTAGCTTTAGAAAATTGGAGCCCTGAAGTATTAGCCACCAAAACTCTAGTTGATTCTGAGTCATTAAAACATTGCTAAGCTAAAATTTAGTTCTGGGCCTCCTATCTTCCTTCTTTCCCTTTATTTTTAATTGATTAATTAATTAATTTATTGGTTGGGTTGTTTGTGTGTAGTCTATGTGTGTGCATTTAGTATGTGTGCATGCAGAGGACGTTGGGTATCTTTCATGATCTTTTGAGACAGACTCTCAGTGAACCCAGAACTTACCAATTGGCCGGATTGACTGCCCAGCAAGCTTCCGAGACCTGCTTTTCTCCACGACCCTCCCACCGTGCTAGGGTTCCAGACTTGTCTGACCACACCCAGCTTATCTGTAGGTGCTACGATCTGAACTGAGGCCCTTATGCTTGTGGGGCAGGCACCTTACTCACTGAGCAATCTCCCCAGGCCCTTCTTTACCATCTTGCCTCTAAGGTACCCTTGAGATCCTTCCCAGTGATATGATTTCCCAGCAAAGTAGATGTTTTCACTTTGAATTGAACCGATGCTGACTTCTCAGAACCCTCTTAGTGTTTTCTGCTGTTCATTTCCGTGTTTAGGTTGTGGGACTGTGTTCAAGGGGAGGCTGTCGCTTTCCCACGCAGACCCCCTTCTCTCCAGGCTGTTGTCTGTCTTCCTCCACAGGAGGCACCGAGGCAGAGCTGAGAGGCTGCTGAAAAGCAGAGTCCTCCTCATTTTTCTCACATGCTTTTTTATTTTCTATCCAGATTTTTTTCTTGTTTTAAATGTCTATACAACCTTTTTTTTTTTTTTTTTTTTTTTGGTTTTTCGAGACAGGGTTTCTCTGTGTAGCTTTGCGCCTTTCCTGGAACTCACTTGGTAGCCCAGGCTGGCCTCGAACTCACAGAGATCCGCCTGGCTCTGCCTCCCGAGTGCTGGGATTAAAGGCGTGCGCCACCACCGCCCGGCTTCTATACAACCTTTTACTCAAGTCTGGATACTTCACAAGCATCTCAGTTTCTGGATTATTTTTCTAAAGGACTAGACTCTTAAAGCAGCTAAATTCTTAAATAAGATTTTCTAAATAGATGCATAAGTATTTAAATTGCTAAGCTGTACTTGGGGTTTTTTTTGAGAGTGGTACTTTTATATTCTTAAGTGTTTTAGTAGTTTCATATCCAATTAATTTTCATAAACTATCTTGTATCTACTATGCGGAGTAGAGAGAGCCTCACTTGTCACAATGTGCTATTAATCATAAGAGTGTTTTACTATCACTTTATATGATTTGTGCTATTTATTGATCATATTCTTATATGATTAGTAATATTTCTTCTTAGAGACAGAGAAATGTTATGGAATCTTTGAAATGTCTAGAAATTGTCTATCACATTGACATTTGTCTATATATCTACTTATTATGGTGGCAAACAAATCCTAAAATTATGATACACTTGGTTTCAATGGGGAGGTCTTATTTGGTTTGGGTCCTTCCTGGGTGTTGGAATTACTTTTTAAAAGGACAAATACTAAGCTGGGTATGATGGTACATACCTGTAATCCTGGTACTTGGGAGGAGGACACAAGAGTGTCATCATTGGCTATATATTGTGTTCATAGCCAGCCAGGAAAAAACATCAGGCCCCATTTAAGAAACAAAAAAACCAAGCCAAACAAAAAAAGAAGGGACATGTTTTTATTTGTTTAAGCTGAAGGTATAGTTTTCATGTTGGTTTATAAATCCAGATGTGCACACAGAGGAAGGCACCTGGTCTATGTTACACTTAACAAAAGTGACACTTTCCACAGTCTCTGAACAGCCATTAGTGACAGACCTGCTCACTTGTTGATCTGCCTGGACTGGCTCTCATTGCCCCTTCTGCTCACCGCTCCCTCCTCCCGCCATGTGAACATTGGCTCTTAATATGCTCAGAAGAGTAGAAGAAAGTCACACATGTTTGGCCAAAATTGCCAGAGTCCATTTGATGATTTATATGATTTATACTGTGGCATTTAATATTAACCCAAAACTTTCATGAACATTGACCGTACTGAGGTTGGGGCTCTGCCAGGGGATGGCTTCACTTCTGAGCACACACTGTTGCTGGCACCTCCATTATTTCTTACAGACATAATAACATCAGGAGTCAGACAGTTTAGAGTTCTTGGTTCTGCCTGTTTCCACCTTGGTTGTTCCATTAGATTTTGGTTTTCCTCGGGGTTGATTCTGGTTTTCCACTGATGTTATTTTGTCCCCCGCTCCCTCTTCTTTCTGGTCGCCAGTCTTCCATCCCGTGGAGTGCTCCTACTGTCACTGCGAGAGCATGATGGGCTTCCGGTACCGATGCCAGCAGTGCCACAATTACCAGCTCTGCCAGAACTGCTTCTGGCGTGGCCATGCCAACGGCACCCACAGCAACCAGCACCAGATGAAGGAGCATTCCTCTTGGGTAACTAACTGCTCTGTCTCTGATTGTGTGCTCTCAACTGTTTGCTTGGCTCGTGGGTCACAGGACTTGGTCTAGCGTCCTGCCGGCGCCCTGCCCAATAAGGGAGGTGGTGTCCAGAAATCTTAATGTCAGCATGGATGCTGGGGTTGCAGCTGTGGTTTTAAAAGCAGATTTTTAAGATGTTCTGGGAGGTACTGCGTTTAAAATGGTCCTTTGCAAAGTTAAAAAGTGAATGTCTTCTGATTTGAAAAATTATACAAAGGTGATCTCCCTAGCGCTTATTCCCTTAGCCTTAGGTTAGGTTTTCCTCACAGGTTGGTGTGTTCATACACTGCTTAAAAAGTGTCATGTAGTACAGGAGTTACATTTGTGTATCTTTAGGTTGGAGAAAGACTATCTTATAACCATTACTGCATTATTAGTCTTACGTTCAAAAGGAGCTTGTCAATAGTTGGGTGATGGCCAAGCACAGTGGTGTACGCCTTAACCCCAGGACTAAGCGGGCAGAAGCAGACAGATCTCTGTGAGTTACTGCATGCTCTCTACATGGTGAGATGCTGTCTTGAAACAAAATAAACAAAATCAAACAAAACAAACAAAACTCAACATTTGGACTGAGATTGATATCTGCTCTTCCTGGGGTGTTCATAAATCATGTAATATGAATCTCATTAAGTATTTTTCTTCACATCTTATGATTTATTTCTAGGGTTTTTTTTTTTTGTTTGTTTGTTTGAGAGGGGCTTTCTCTGTGTAGCTTTGGTGCCTTTCCTGGAACTCACTCTGTAGACCAGGCTGGCCTCAAACTCGCAGAGATCCGCCTGCCTCTGCCTCCCAAGTGTTGGGATTAAAGGTGTGCGCCACCACCGCCTGGCGATTTCTAGTTTTTGTTGGCTGCTTGCTTTACTAAATGGTAGAAGACCAGGCAGGGCCAGAAGTATGGTTCCAGACTTATCATCTCACCCCAGTACCTACTGGACTGTAGATATTAAAAGGCCTTAACAACTGGGTTTCCTCACCCCTTTATTTTTCCTAGAATTCAACCAAGAAAGATGAAATAAACCAACACCAGGAAATGTTAAAGAGGGGGAAAGAAAAGGAAACACGGAGCATCAACCCCTGTGCACACTTGGCTATATGGCCAGAATCTGTGATGGTGTGTTAGAAACACAATCCTATTGGATTGAGTTTCAGTTAGAGCTAACTACAGAACCTTGCTTCACTAAGACATCCTATTGTTTAGTTTGCATTCCTGTACTATGTTTTGGTTTAAGGTCATTTTTTTTTTAAGTGGAAACCCTTCCAGTAATTTTTTAAAAATTACTAGTATGGGCTGGAGGGATAGCTCAGCCGTTAAAGGCTAGGCTCACAACCAAAAAGTTACTATTACCTAAAGATAACTGGACTGTCATTTTTTTCCTTTCCCCATGTAAAGCGCTGTAGCCCACTGTGCTAATTGGTTGGTCAACGTGTCTTGTGTAGTTTTTGGTTTTAGAGTCCTGTCTGAACCGAGACAGGTTCTGCTCAGTCACTTTTCATGGTGATTTGGTCTGCTGGCATGCTTCTGGTGAGACTCTCATTCTGAATGTTGGGGTGTGGGGAGCAAGGGGTTTCTTACTCCCTTAGTTTGAACCTGCTCATTGACCCAGTTTATAACCTTTTCAAAAGTAAGGATTTTGCATTTATTTAAAGATCAGTAACTGGGGGCAGGAGAGATGGCTCAGCGGTTAAGGACACTGGCTGTTCTTGCAGAGGTCCTGGGTTCAATTCCCAGCAACCACATGGTGGCTCACAACCATCTGTAATGAGATCTGATGCCCTCTTCTGGCCCGCAGGAATACATGGAGGCAGAACACTGTATGTATAAATAAATAAATCTTAAAAAAAAAAAAAAGACCAGTAACTGAAACTGCTTTATGGTTTGCAAATGAACTTTTCATATACTCTTGAATTTTTTTTCTTTGAGTTATAGCATACACACAGAAAAGTACAAGCCAGTCATGGTGAATTGATGCCTGTAATACCAGTACTTGGGCAGCTGAGGCAGGAGGATTACTATGAATTCAGGCCAGCCTGTGTTAAGATCTTATCCTTTACCAAACAAATAAGCAGGTGCAGAATCTGTAAGTGAATTCTTACGTATTTGATCCTGGCAATACTGTGAAGATTTTCTTTCTAAATATTTCTCATTTTTATTTCATCTTTTCTGTATTTTTTTCTGCCTTATCAATTCTTTTTTTTATAGTAATTTAGGGTTTTCAAAACTTTAGTATTACTGGCTTACATAATTTTGAGTCTGATACCATAAATAGGTCAGTTCTGAATTTTGATGGATCGCATGCCTTGGAGGGGTACATGTGTACTAGCAGTTAGTATATATGTCTATATGTAACTTGGTCTCAAAATTAAGAGTATATACAGTAACCTGGCCCTTTGGAGGATAGGGGTTAATTTTGAGGCTGGATAAAGGAATTTCTGTTTAACAAAAAGATACATAATTATTTTTTTTGGTGAAATGGGATTGAATTTACATACAAGGCAAGTGCTCTACTACTGAGCCATGTCCCAACCACCGTTACCAGTTTAATGGTAAGTTCTTTGAATGTTTTCCACTGTGTCTGTACCAGTATTTGAAACGAATGCTTCTATGTTTACAGCAGCAGATTTTAGTTTGTTTGACTGATTTGTTGAAGAACTGACACTGTAGATTTGGTAGATGTATGTTTCAGTATTTGTAAAATTATTTTTATTGTCCCAAAGCCCGTATTTAATGTTTCATCTAAGTAAAGGAGTAGCAATTCAGTATTTCAGACCTCAGTGTATTTAGTTTGCTTTTATTCCCCAAAAACGTTCTGTATGGTACTGTACTCGATATTCCTCCTGTCTACGCATCATTTGTTCATTCAAAAGGTATTTCGAGTGCTTATGTATATAGTCAGCACAGTGATAGCTGTGAACAAACCAGTCAAAGGTCGCTGCCCTCTTGAAAACGTTTTAGAATATGAAAACAATTGCTCAGGCTTGCTGGTGTCTCCATTTTTCTATTCCTGGTGGGCATCCAGACTACTTTCCACACCTCCTCCTCCAGCTTTGTATGGGTGGGACTGTGCGACTGGTTCTCCCCAGTGGACTGTGGACAGATGCATGTCTTTCCCCAGGACAGTTAATGACAGTGTCTTCTCTGCCCTCCGCTTCCTCACTTCAGAGGATGCCTGTGGAAAGTTAAACTGTGAAATAAAAAGAAACTGGACCTATGAATGGTGGGTAGAGAGGAGCGTATGCCGACCCATTTGCTTGAGATGGGGGCATGCTAAGAACTGTGTTCCCACAGCTGTTGAGGCTAAAACAGGAGGATTGAAGGTTCAAGGCTACCTTGAGTAACTTATCAAGAGCCTGTCTCAAAATGAAATTTAAAAGGGCTGGGGATACAGCTCAGTGGTGGAGAACTTGCCTGGTATTTACAAGTGGGTTCATTTTCCAGCACACACATACACACACACACACACACACACACACACACACACACACACACACCCCAAAACAAACAGAAAACCCCTTGTTTTAAATAATTAAAATTTTCGTTTTTCCCCATAGTACTTAGTACTAGGAGTGGACCACTAGTAAAAATTAAAAGTGTGTGGTGTTGGCTTGACATATAGGTGTATACCAATGAGCAGATGAATCAGATGATGGCGTAGAAAGACAAATCGTGATACAGCCATAACCAAATTGGTAAATTTGTCATTAGAGGTACTTGAAAGTAGTGTCATACCAACTGAGCCAAGTGTTGGAAAGGATCACAGTGTGACTCTGTTGACAGGCATTGCAGGAAAGAGATAGGCTTCAGAAAGAATTGACTGGTTTGTAAACAAAGAGTTTGTCAATAAAGAGTTCTGACAACGGGGCGGCGGGGGGGCAGTATAAGGAGAAAGAGGGCTGTCTTTGGATGCTATCAAGTAAGAGACGAGTATATTTACAAAGCCTAGTAGACACACTCAGGTGAAAAGACGAGACTAAGTTCCATCTGTAGAGCTTCTGTTGGTAGGGTTGAGGTCCACGATACCTGCATGAAGACAGTTCTCCAAGTTCCCCAAGTGATTCCACTGTACAAAAGTCAGGATCTTGTTTCATGTGGCTTCTAGGTGGCCCCTGTTAGCTGAGAGTGAAAGACCTGTGAAAAATGAGTCAGGCTTGAGAGTGAAGCCCAGGAAAGGACTGTTGTTTCTGGCACACAGAACCGATGGGGAAGAAGCAGATCGGAGGACCACTGTGTTCCTGGGGAGCCGTGTTGGCAAAGGATCCGTGAGCCCGGGCTGAAAAGACCTTCTACTGTTGGAGCTCGACAATCACTTCAGGAAACCCAGAATTTGCTCTAATGCCAGTGAGGGGCAGGGATGAGAACGTTACGAGGGTTGTGTATCCTCAAAAGAGGGCATGCCATAGCACACTTGGCCACGGGGAATATTGGGTAAGAGAACTGAGGCCAGTCTGGTCTACATGACACCTTGTCAAAACAGAGAAACCAAAGCTGGGAAGAAAGAAGAAGACCAAGCACACAGGTCCTGTTTCTGTCCCCCAAGTGTATCTTGGGAGTGGGGGAGAGTGCACTTTCAGGTCATAGGAAGCATTACTAGGAGTTGCATTGGATCCTGAGGAAGGCTGCACCACACACACCGTCCGAGATGCACTAAATGGATGGCAGATCTTCTTTCCTGTGTGTGCCATGGGAGGGGTTGACGGTGTTGCGATACTCGGTGACCACGGTGCTCACTAAACCATTTTCCTTTCTACCCAGGCATGCAACTCATTATGTAACTCATTAATCAGGCCCACGTGGCCTGTCTTCTCCAGTGAGTATTACCTCTCAGGCCAGGCACTTTAAGCATGTCTGCCACCTCATCTTCATTGTCTTTATGCTCTCCCGCTAACGCCCATTGGCCTAAGAGAAATGTCTCCAAAGGACCTAGGCAAGAGCAAGCCCTTGATGGAAGGTGACTGGG